GTGAAGCTCATTGAGGTACTCCTTGGACCAACAATGCCAGAAATGCTGCCATCTGCTTAGGCGATTTACTGATACTGTCGTTAGATCAGTTTCTGGCAAAGCTATGAGGGAGTCTCCAATTAGGAAGTGACCTGGGGTGATTGGAGATGGGTCAGAATGTTCACTGGGTGTGGAGTTAAAACAAGATTAAATTTGAGTTGTCAAGGTAATGAGCTCTTCCAGAGTCAAAGCAGTGTTCCCAACCACTCTTCTGTAAAGGCCTCCCATAGCCCACCAACATGTGGAGAACGCAGAGACAGATTTTTGTACCATGGTACATGATACTGGGTTGAATGTTATACCTGTATTTTAGTAAAGTTCTGTGATGTACAAAAATGCTTTCAAGAAATTTATTTCAAAATACATTTTATAATACAAGAAAGCCTTCTGCATTATCTTAAGTTTATCTCACGTTCTCTTTAGATGTTTTGTACTGTATACTAGAACTGAATTTTCTACTTCCACACTTTGTAAATCTTTAATGTCAACAGAAATATTTGAATTTGAGCCTGCAACTGGTATCACGTTATTAAGAGTACCACTTCCCCATTCATCCATAGAGGAGTCTTCAAATTTACTAAGAAAAACAACACATTCACTTTCATATTTCATAAACACAAAATAATACGTCACTCTGTGATCACTACATTAAAAAAGGAATATATACATTTATCGGCATATAACACACCTTTATTTTTGGATTTTAAAATTAAAAAATGAAGTATTTGTGTATAACATGTTTAGGAACAAAATGTTTTGTAGTATAAGATGTCTGAAGATTATGCTGGTATTTTATGAAACCTACGTAGATGCATTCATATTTAAAGTCAGTCAGATGATGGCCTTTCTTTTACAGCAACAGAAAATGCAAAACTCAAAAAACAATTGCTGACCCACTTGTAGTATAAGATGTCTGAAGATTATGCTGGTATTTTATGAAACCTACGTAGATGCATTCATATTTAAAGTCAGTCAGATGATGGCCTTTCTTTTACAGCAACAGAAAATGCAAAACTCAAAAAAACAATTGCTGACACACTCCGTTTATCTGCATCCTTCTTGTAGTTTATTGGTTTTTGTGAGCTGCAGTAACAAATGCACCCTAGTTAGAGGTAACAACATAAGTTTTAAGCTACAAGCTGTACAAATATGCAGAGAAACAAGGCAAAAGACCTGCAGGTCATAAGTTTGATGTGAAGAAATGAATTGCAGGATGTACAATAGGTTACTAATGTCTTAAGTGCTATTAAGAAGCATCAAATCCATATTTTGCCCGACATCTCAGGATAACTACAAGTTAGTTTTCCAATGCAAGAATAATTTTAGACACTGAAAATGATATGATGATGATGAAGTTCCTCCAGCCATTGATGGTTTTCATAACTGGATTATGCTACCCATTGTAGCTTCCCAATTTCCTCGCGATGCTGGGTTGGCACCGGTCCCATACACTGGTCGAAAATCTCATGAGAAATTCCTTTCCCTGAGACTCGAACCAGAGCGCATTCCGTATCACCGGTCCGAAGCATGATGCCTCAGACCGCGCGGCTACGGCGCGGGACTTTGAACAAAATAATTAATTTGAACAAAACAATCACACAGAGCAAAAACAAATGGACAATCCATTAACCAGCTTCTGCAGATTCTTCATCGGATGCTGGTGAAGAGGTCCAGGACTGATTTCTTCTCCTGAAATGAGATGAAAATCACATCAATCATTCTTATAAATGTCTACAAATGTAACCTTAGGAAATGTTAACATTACAAGATATATGTCTCCCCCATCTTACCTTCTTTAAACGAGCTACGCTGAACACATTCCAGGCGCCGGTTACGATGGCTTTTTCCATCTGTAGACATGGCCAGGGAGTTTTGCAAGCTTGTCTCAGGCTAGGATACTTCCAAGCTTGTATAAGGTTCTGAGGGTAGCCATGGGTGCTAACCTAAAACAAACAAACCAATTTCCATAAGAAATGGAATTAAAAGTAACAATCTGGAATAACCTCTAATGACATGACATCCACACCAAATTCCATGAAAATTTGTCAGCCATTCTCATTTAACAAGTAATGATGCAAACAGTGACACAGTCAATGATGGCATAAGAGGTGATGACATCAGCTACTGCAGAGGATCATGGATATTGGCATCACTGTGGATTGTAATCCAGCTACCTCACAACTTTATCATGTTGTGTTGCTTACCACCATTTTAAAGGTACATACTGCCTCCATCTTCACATTCCTAGAAACAATGGCACTGATAGGATTGAATACTAGATGAAGTGCTTAAAAAGCACAGTTCTCCTGAAATAAAGCACTCCACAGACTATAAAGTAAATATAATCTAAAAAAACAAATAGATGTTCCACAGGATGTAACAAGCTGTTCCATCACTGTGTACTATCATAGTCACTGTTACCAATGCAGCGATGAGCTGAATCACAGCCGCGACAGAATGCTAAATACATGCTAGCATCTACTGTTTCACTGAGTAAGATCACAAATAATTAAAAATAATAAAGTGATTTTCAGAAACCCTTGAAGCTAAGCCGCGGAGGCCTTCAGCCGAAACGGCCCCTCCCTCTCTGGGTTCAAACCCCAGAGATCCAACCAACCAAATTCCTTTGGACAACTTGCCTGACGGGATAAGCTCCCATCAGCAGCAACAGATCCCAGTTTGAATGGTCGAGGCTCCAGCCACGGCGTAACCCAGTTAGCGTTAGCAAAATTTCCGTTTTTTATATTAAGACCGTTTACCATTTCCAGCAATGCGCCTTGTGCACAGGAATGGTTTCACCTAGGTAGGGACGATGCTTGCGCTTGCGAAGGACTCCGCCCTTAGTTAGCTTTTTGGTTGGTTGGTTGGTTGGTTTCTAGGTTTTACACTAGCCATTAATCTAATAATATTCTTTTGTAAAGTGAATATCTTTTTGATGTTTGATGAATTACCCCCAAAAATTATTACACAATTCATTATAGCGTGTAAATAGGCAAAATATATTGATCTGAGTGTGTCAGTGTTGCTGACATGCAACATAGATCTGACTGCAAAACATGCTCCACTTAACTTCGAATATACGAAAATTTTTCTAATATTTCAGGTTTTGAACATTTTTTAAAAACATTATTTTAAAAAACATCGACATTTTCTTAAAGTTCTCTCCGCACATCCTCTCTGCCTGAACCGGTCTATGGAGGCCGTTCTGTCCCTTATACGGTCTCTGTGTGACACGGTCCGTGAGGCTGGTGGAACGACTTTCAAATTGCAACACTTTTCGAAATTTTGAAAATATTTAAAAAATTCTTAAATGCTATAAAAATGAAGAAAGGGAAGATTTTCGAAATTTTTAAAAATATTTTTGAATTTGAAATTTTTCAAAAATTTTCAGTTTTGTACTCATTTTTAACATATTTCAACATTTATTTATTTTTCGGAAATTTTGTAATATTTCGATTTTTTTTTAAATTCTACGCATCCAGTCTGTGTCGGTCCCAGTCTCTGCTGCACCCAGTCTCAAGTGGACGCGGTCTCCATAATACCTTTATTTCTACAAAACACGAAGGAAATAAATAAAATTTAAATTTTTTCGAATATTTTGATTTTTCTCTGCTTTTTTTAACATTTTCAAACGTATTATCATTTTTGAAAATTTGTTAAAATTTCGATACGTTTAAAAAAAAATTCACTGCCGAACAAGTTCTGAGCCCGACTCAGCCTCTGTCCGCTGTGATTTAAGGGCATAAATACTATGCCAAGAGTCTGGGTGTCTGAATACAAACTGTACCTCTGGTAAAATATGGGCTGAGGCAGTTTCAGTATGTATTTCACTGACATCTTTTCCAGAAAATGAAAATGTCCATATGTAACAATATCCTGTAATATGTTTCACACTGAATGCCTTGCCTTCATTATTTCTACTACTCCAACATAGAGGACTTTGGTTCGCTTTCTTGGAAACAGAACCAATGCATAATAATTTGTTAAAATTCTTGTTTCACATGTTCCATTAATTCATGAACTATGTGGTATGATATACGGTGTATGTTGAAGAAGGCGTTATATAAAAGACTTGGTACGTATAAAAATAAACATATATTGTTCAGACTCTTCAAATTCCACGATGAGAATAAATGCTGAATTTCCGTGTCATATACTTCTTTAATTGTCACATATCCTACACAATTATTATTATGTACAAAAATACAAAAAGCTTTTGTGTAAGATATTTAAATACAAAGAGCCAAATTAAAAAGCAAGAGACACTAAAATTATTCACAAAATTTACTCATTTTCTGTATCTCTTCAGCATGGTTACCATCATTTACAAACTTCACACTACATACGAGTAGACAGTATCAGTCAGAAAGACAACTCTCCATCACACACACAATCGGCCAAAACAGCTTATTACCGAAATTCCAGTTTAACATCAAATTGTTTTTAATCTCTAGAGTTTTAATGTTCATGTACATTTATTCCAAGATCTTCACTTCAGCACATACTCATGTCCCATGGACTACAAGTATTGAATATGGCTATCTTCAGAGGTTCATGCCGCCTCCATCATCAGACCAGCAAGGACCTCTGAAGCATCAGTAAACTTCTACCACATTGCATGGACTTTACAGCTTGGAAGACAGCCATCTTCATCCTCACCGTGTGAAAACCTCAAACCTGACTATAAGAACTGTTTCAAGACAACATAAAGATGAAATAAGTGACTTCATAAATTGGTAGAACTGTACACCGGGTTTTCCAGTAAGTATAAGTACTGTAACCACCATGTGTCACCCGAAACACAATAAAAATGCACTAACTTAGCCTTAAATAAAGAAGAAATGTCACAAAATTTATTATGAAGCCTACAAATTAAGGTATAAATGTCAGTTTCTTTATAAAATAAGAATCAGTTTCTGAAATAGTGACTTTAAAACATGTAAATATACACACTTTCAACGTCTAAAGGACAAAAATGATCAGTTAAATTTTATCCCATAATATCAGTTATATAAGAATAGGAAATACAAAGTCAGAGAAGAAAAACTCAAAGTCAGAGATAACAGTCACTCCATTTCCTTCATGCACTCTTCATACTGCATCAACTAACACATGCAACTGTAAGATGACTTGTCTTTTATTAATACTAATGGCACAGATGTCACTAAAACAAATTCAGTCTAAAATTTTGCTCCTTTGCAAAACACAGAAATCCATTTATTGCACAAGGCAATAAACACATTTACTTAGAAAGAGATTCTCAAAAAGCCTGAAAATACGATGGACCTCCCTGTCAAATCTAAGATGCCTTTGAAGTGCCCTGAAACATTGTTTGGATAATGTTGCAAACACAACCACAATAACAAATACTGGAGGACGCTACTTTATAACAAATCATGAGATATTATTTGAACTCTTTGTTCTCACTATATGTGACTTTTAGTAAAAAATTAACTATTATACAATCAGAAACTAATTCTCACTTTGATGTGAACAACCCAGAAACCTACTCATGTGAAGGTGGGTTAGAGTAAATGAGCAACACATTTATGTTGACCGCTATTCTTCTTGCAAAGTATTAGCATTAAATATGAAAGAAACACAACATTTTTCTCTACCTAATATATACTAGCTACTTTAAATGTTAACCTAAAGTTCTGATCTTGAAGCAGTAACTAATGTTCCGTGTTATTCTGGATTTGAGCAAGAATTATTCTTGTACATGAACAACTACAAGACAATCCTGTATTAAAACTACCAGCTAAATAACCCTGCCTTTTTTGTTCAAGAAATTCTGTGTTATTCTGCATTTTTACACAAATCATTCTAGTAACCATGAAAATTTATACCCGTTTTTCAAATTATGAACATTATTTTCGCTACCACGAAGAACCAACCTTTGTCTGACAGCCAAACGTCCACTTCTTAAGTAATGAAAGTATAGTATGTAGCACACGCAAAATATGAGGTTAATACTTTAGGATTATTATATGTACAGTAATTAATTTTTCATAAAGAAAATTGTTTATTCTAGTTTTCGTTGGTTCTGAAGTTTGTACTGTACCTACACTAACTGCTGCATAATATAAAAATTTCATTTAACACTTTAACAGTGCTTTACAGCAGGATGGTCCAACTTTTTTTCTCGCTCGGGCCAGTATAGTTTTCCTATTGGACTCAAGGGCCAAGAAACCCCTGTCACTATTTTTGCATTATTGTTATCTTTAATAATATTTATTCAGAAATGACAACTTACCACTGCGTATGCTGAAGTATAAATTTTATTTAAATGTGCACGAACTACTACTGATTTGTGTATTATTTTAAATTTGCTCCTGGAACAGTTTGTATGTATACAATTTTTACCTGGGAAACTAACACAAATTATTTGAATTCTGCTATTTTAACAGCTTGTACCTGATACAATAACAATTTGTACCAGTAGAACATGCACCTTATTCTTTAATGTCAGTGGCTTTAGTGAGAGCAGAATGTTCTTTTACCAGTGACGGAATATCAACTTCGAAAAAAAAATAGGTTTGTGCGAACTAGTAACAAATTAACAAACACTTTTGTGGGCCGGATACGGCCCGACAGTTGGACCACACTGCGTTACAGGATTAATCAGGTAGTAATTATAATAAAAAAGAACACTGTTCTTATTTTTATGACTGTACTGTGTTGTAACTTATGTGAGAAAGATATTAGGCAATTTATCTTGGAGTAAGAAACAAATCTGAATTTTCTGCACTGAAATTAATGTGAACTTCATGTTTATTGTTGCCATCACATAAATAATTCATATCTTTTTGTAACTTTTAATATTTAATGTGTAACTTATTGTAAACTTTATGATTTTAATCAGACAAGGACCTACATTTCAACCGAAACATGACTAACTTGTTCACTGTCAAATAAAGAAATATGAATATAATTTTATACCTTTTACTTTTTTAACTTAAATAGAAGCAATGGCGTCGTAATTTCAGCCCTGATTTAAGAGAAACCAGTGAAATATAATGGGAATTTCATTTATGATTTACAAATTTTCACCTTCTGAACAGTTTTCATTGAACATTCATAAATTGGAGGGTGGTTGCACTACAAATTAATACCAGAAGAAAACTGCCAGTTAAATAACACTATAATTATGTTGTAGTTCAAACCTGTAACACAATCTTGAATATGAAATATGGTCTGTATATCAGTTGGATACCTGACATTTTTTAACTAAATACAGAATCCAGACTGTAGTCAACATTTCGGTGATTTATAATACATTTGGTACATATCAAATCATTTTCTCTCTCATTCATACAAATGCTAATGAAAGTAGATGATCCGTATTCCTTACAAGTCTTCAACATTTTAATATAAATTACATATGGTAACATAACCTGTAAGAAAGAACTGCATCACAGAACGTGAGGCAGTCATGATTTTGAACTGGTTTACAGATTTAAATGTGTATTCAAGTACTTCTCCAATGAAAGCAGTGATAATGCATGTGCCTGTTCAACATTTTTCAAATTAAATTATAAAACGTGAATCATTTTCTTAACATCTTCCTCTGAAATGAAGTTTTAGTCTGAATTTTCTTAGTCAATAATGCCTCTGAGTCACATACAATAAAAATTCTTGTTGCTGAGAAACATCAGTTGCCCTTTTGTCTAATGACATATTCATTTAATTTCTTCACTCCTTCCTTGTATCATCTATGAATTTTAGGATTTTTAAAACATTTCAACTAAAGATGACGAACTGTCAAATAAATATCCTCCTTTATTCTTTATTTATTGAATAAAGTGTGCACTTTGCGATTTATCAGATATATCTGAGAAAAATTAAAAGAAGAAATGTTTAATTTTGAAAAGAAAACAAAAAAATACTTGGAGAGTATAAATGTGTATTTACTTCTAATAACTTCTTAGTCAACACTGAAATATTACATTTTAAAACACTTTAACCTCACAAAGACCTTTCACGGCATGCTGAAGATCTGTCATTTTCAACATATCTCACACTTGACAATGATGAACATGGTACAAGGTTTTAAAACCTTATGAAAGAAATGGGAATGATATTGTATCTTCCCAAGTCAAACTTTATAGACGATGCATCACACAGCCTAGCACACTGTGGCGCATCAGCAGCATACAGCTGATGTGTTAACACGAATTAAAGTCCACCTGGTAACATTTTTGTATGAGGTAATGATATCCATTTTCCTGTATGATAGATGTTAAGAGACTTGTAACAACACATCATTCCCAATACTTTTGTGTACGCAGAGCATCAGAAGCTGTGTAGTGACACTTAATTGCCAACAGACTGTTCAAGAGTAAAATAAACACAAGTATTCACATTACATCAACTACATGGACAACAGTAAAGCAGGGATGCACTGCAAAATTGTTACAAGGGGTTTGCACCAGCCAAGCTATATATCTTTTTCATTTTGGCACATAGAATTATGCATAGGAAATACATATATCAGTACATGGATGTATGTGTACTGATACAATGATATTGACATACTGCCTGCATAATATATTTTATATGTCTACAACGGAGGGTTCAGATAATTAATTGAAAATTAACAAGAAACTTGTAGGGGCCCCCCTGCAGTCCACCATTGCAAGTAAGTGTCAAATTTTTAAAAGAGGATGAGAATGCCAAGTACAGAAGCAACTTTATATAACACAAATCTTACCTTAAAATTTGTTTCCTTAAACTAACTTTAAGTACTCGATAGATTCCACTAAAAGTCACAATGTCCAATCTGTCAGTATTTGTGGTTAATACAGACATTATGTACAAGTCTAGGTAAAAATGATGTCAAATACATACTTCTTATTATTTTTATTTCATCATAATTTCCAAGAAGCCTCCCAAATGTTCTCTCCTTTATCAATACTTTTATTTCATTCCAGCTGTTACTTTACTGTTATAATAGTAAAATTATCACCAATGTATTTCTGTTAAAAAATTTCAGTGGATTTAAACATGAGGTAAAATGAGGGAAAACAGAAATGGGAACATGTAAGAATGGTAATAATAAACATTCCAGTTTAACTTACTATTTGTTTATATGACACTGCATTCAAAATATCTGTGTTAACAGGTCAAATCTATGTTTCGTGTTGAAACTCACACCAATAAAGAGGAATTTTTTTTTAGTTAAAATAAACATTTGTTTACTGTGAGCGGTTGGGAGTGTTTCATCATGTACTACAAGCAATTCTCTTTCCTTTATAAGATTATTCAAAAGTTAGATAATACCTAATAAAATTCAATATACAACGGAAGCACAAAACACAGACTATAATTTGTTATGGCAGTCTAATTACGTTTCAGCTTTAGTGGGTACGTAACACTCGTAACTCTGTGAACATGCGGTAAGAATCAACTGGCACACAATTAATGACTAATAACTTTGTCTTTATGAAAAGTCCCTGATGTGTAAATACATTTGTGACTTCACGTAATTTCAAACACATTCTTTGTTTTACAAAATATCTCCAAGTTAAACACATACAAAATGGCATAAATAAAAGTTACTGTTTCATTACTTAATTTTTTTATAAATACTTTCCTTACTAACAGAAAAAATCCAGTCTTGTAATTAGCAACACTCCTACCCTTTTTTAAATGCATCAAGTTATTCAAGACAGTGATTCAATTATGGGCTGTGCAGATGCACATATTTCCCCCAGGGATAAACAAAGTTCTATAACCAATCACACATTTGCAATGTACGCATGCATTCTCAAGTGAAACAATAGCAGTAAAATGTAAAAACTCAGGGTTAATTGTAAGTTCACTGTAACAGCAGTATTTTAATGCACTGGGAAAAGGTCCGTAAGCCTAATGTGGAAAGTGGAGCTTTCTGATACGCAAGTGACAAAGTATTTCAGTGGCGAAAGAGTTACAGGGAAGCAAACAGCTGGTGGTGTATGTCTGCGAGATGATTTGCCCGAGAGAGGGCTGAACTATTGGTAACAATTAGCGGAGAGATGGCAGTGTCCTTTCGTGTTCTTTTACTCTCCTTTTTGAAAACATTGTTACAGGACAGACTGTGGGATACCACATAGTGACTCACTGTAGTTTCTCAATTTTAAGATGCCGTTGACTTAGTGATAGGTTTTCTGTACATCAATTCTAAGACACCATGGAATGCAACATGCACCCTGATTTCAGAAATTTTAAAATGTGAATAAGTGTGTCTTAAATTTAAGGAAATACAGAATATTTTGAAAGAATAAAATAAGTTGTAACATACTCAGAACCATTAATGAAGAGCATATATAGAACACCTTACACGGTTATAGCGGTTAGAACGCTGGCCTTGTAATCCTGGGGTCTCGGGTTCGATTCCCGCCGGCGGGGCCCGAATTTTTAACTTGTGTTGGGCAAGGCCGTGGCCTAGGCAACACGGAGTTTTCCTCATTGGCATCCCAACAATTACTCCATTCACACACAGAAGAAGGCTATGGCAAACCACTTTTGGATCATCTGCCAAGAACGTATATGAACAGGTCCCAGTCCGAGAAAAGGATGGAAGGATCCTGTTCATATGGACCTGTCGTCAGACAGAACACTAAATAAATAAATATAAATATATAGAACAAAGTCAGAGGAATGAAAACTAAACTAAGTTAAACTAAAGTACACAGACATTTGAAATTTAAAAGTTATAAGTACCAACTGTTACAAAATGTTACTGCACAAGACAAA